AAAGACATCAGGTTGACTTATGCCAAATTAATGTTCATTCAACACCGTTTTACCTTGTGTGACCAAAAGTGTTGGATATTGGAACTGTTTGATCGGGCGTTTGAAGTTAAAGATCTGGAACTTTGAACATTCAATTACGGATGTCATCAATGACGCACGTACTAAAGACAGAACGCAATCAGTTTGCAACACCGACATAAATCATGTCCAACAAAGTGATTTCATTTACAGTAACCCGATTACAATAATAAGGAATTCTTACAAGAGCGCATTTCTGGTTTGCAGAATTTTCACTAGATTGTGAAGATTGAAGAACTCGTGCATTTGCATAGAAATACACTAATCAGGCATAAATACAACCATACGAGATTATAATAGTAGCTAGGCTAACTCACAAATAAATAAATAATAAATAACTCACAGTGGTCACAACCATGCACATAGGAATAACAAGACCGCTTGTTTTCTACTTGTTAAAAAATTATTTCTCTTTCTGTTAATGTAAGGGAAATGGTAGTAATTACTGTATAGCTCCAGCGTTGTAAATATAACTTGTTATATACCCACTGGGTATATGAGTTTAAACCCCTCCAACCCACTATGGGTTTAAACCCTTTAACTCAATAATCAGTGTGGTCACCCTTAGACAGGAATCGCAAGACCACTTATTTCATTCCTCTGGAAAACCAGAAGTAAAATTATGGTATATATCACCATGGTGGATCATTTGTGCAATTAGGAAATTATAACATATTAGGGATAGTTATATTTCATGTATTTTGAAGAATTTACGTGGTCTATCACTTTTAATCTAGCTACTCATATATATCTATACACAGGACGTGTTTTCTTTGCATATTGGAAAGGATAAAATTTTTAGTGGCAATAAATAGTTCTACTATGCCAAAAATAGGCATGGTATCAGGCAGGCATACACGATGTATTATGTTGTATGTTATTGAGATCAAGGTTTAAGAGTGACTTGATAATCGGTTGTTTGTTCCAAAGTCAAACAAAGGGCGTATTATAGAAAGGTAATTGGATGGGGGAGGTTTGAAGTCGCAGTAATCCCCAACTGAGTGAAGTTTCAGATCGGAGTGGCTGTAAGGGAAAGTACATTTAGTATGCCGAGGGGGGGGGGGATGAAGATGTTAAGGGGGCACCGAAATATTTTCTGGCCCTAAAGGGGGGTTCTGAAAGTTCTCGGGCTATGAACTTTTCAAAGTTTTGGTGCAGCAGGGGCCTGGAGTGTTCACTCCCACCATGGTTAATAGAATAGATGGTTTGGAAACTCATTAGAATAACAATATAACTCATTATCTATGTTAGTGAACGTTTATTCATAAATCTGGTATTTCACCGTATCACGTGCGTGTTGTATTTTTGCCCGACTAACCAATAGCAATGTTTTAGGAAAGTTACCTATCCGTGACTCGAACAATAGGGTAAATTGAAACTGCAAAAATATAATACACACGTGACGGTGAAGGAAAATATTTATGAATATACGTTGACTAACATAGATAATGAGTTATGTTGTTATTCCAATGAGTTTCCACACCATCTATTCTATATTAACTGGCATGGGGGAGCTCCACATGGAATACGTAAAAGAAGGCTGCAACACGCCGGCGCCTGTCAAAAATGTATGCAAAAGCACCAATGATGCTTCAACTTCTTTAATTTCCATCCTGTTTCTACCACATTTTCCATGAATATAGAACATATCACTCTTACAAATCGTATGTTTTTTATTTCTGGAATTGTTACTTTTTGGTAGGTAAATTACGTCACAAATTTGGCGCCAAAAAATTAAAAATAAGTTATATAGGTGATTTTATAAATCCATTTAGAAGAGCAGATTAAGGGTATTTTAAAACTGAAATCTGTTTCTAAATACAACCATTTTATGGGAAGATATAGCGATACAAATGTCGAAAAATCCGTCATATTGTTACTATATGTTACAAGCCATAAGACTGCTACACTGATTGACTATAAAGCTACAACATTTTATTGCATTATATTGGCTGCTACAATTGACTGCTAAAATTAACGTCATTGTTGCATTATTTAATGCTACAATTGACCATTACACTACAAAATTAACGTCATTATTCCATCATTGACTGCTGCACTGATTGACTATAAAACTACAACATTTTATTGTATTATTAACTGCTACAATTGACAGCTAAAATTAACGTCATTGTTGCATTATTCAATGCTACAATTGACCATTACACTACAAAATTAACGTCATTCTTGTATTACTGGCTGCTACAGGAAACAAAGGAAACAAAGCTGCTACAGGAAACAAAGAAACAAAAATTTAAGTGGGAGCATATTTTTCAACATTAGTCATTGTAATATGCAAATTAATGGTAATTTTGTAGTGTGACAGTCAATAATGCAACAATGACGTTAATTTTGTAGCGAAATAGTCAATTGTATAGTATACAATAATGCAATAATGACGTTGATTTTGTAGTCTAATATTATAATATTAGACTACAAAATCAACGTCATTATTGTATTATTGGATCCTACAATTGACTATTTCGCTACAAAATTAACGTCATTGTTGCATTATTGACTGTCACACTACAAAATTACCATTAATCTGCATATTACAATGATTAATGTTGAAAAATATGCTCCCACTTAAATTTTTGTTTCTTTGTTTCCTTTTCAATTACTATACTTTCTTAACTTCAAACTTTGCGACAGATGGGTGGACGGCATTGATGGTTGGATTTGCTTTGGCTACACCTAGCTTTGGTATGGCCACTGATTCGGTACTATTTTCTTTAGAAAGAAATGTTTGCAGGGTAGAGCAAAATTCCTTCGTGTTATGGCGCATTGAATCAGGTGGAGTGCTCGCCAAGGAGGGATTTTCACTAATTGCTATCGCCATCCCATCATTGAGGTGGTAATCAATATGACAATGCATGAACCACCATCCTGGGTTATTTTGAAGAATATGAATAACGACATAACCACCAGCGGGCACAATCACTGTGCCTTTACGGACTGTAATACTGTTCACAAAAATTCCGCCAGGGGTGTCATCACTCCATGTTGCGTTCCATCATGAAGGCAGCTTTAGATCCTTGTTCGGGGCTTTGACATGCCCACTCTCGTCGTATTCAGGGTAGCCAATTTTAGCAATGAAATAAGAGTGTCCGTGCATCTGGATTGAATGCGTGATGGGGACTGGCAGACGAAGAGAAGAAAGCACAAATCTTGTAGAGTGACCGTAATTTTTTAAGTAGACTGTATGTGGGCAATATTTTTTTTCCAAGTTTTTTACATTTTCCCGGATACTTGCATTCATTTTCAATTTTCTTACTTAAAAGTATAGGCTCTTCAGGGAGATCAAACCTAATGCCATTACTCAATCTGACCAACTTCCTTATTTGATGAAAGTTAAAGAAAAATTCATTTTTACGGTCAACTACTGAACTTGGATATTCACCTTGTGGGGTAGGGATCAATAACTGAAGGGCCAGTACGTTAAAGCACATCATATACGAACCTTGATTTGAATAGTCTTAGCATTTTCTCGAAAGGACAATTCAGCATCTTACATGGATTGTATTTATCATTACACCGATCATTCTGAACACAGCAAATTAAATTTCTTTTTAGTACTTTCATTGGCGCAGTTAATTAAGACTGCAACCATGTAATCATGCGTTAATATATCTTTCACAGTAAAAGTATGATTGCAGAAAGTTGTGCCTCATTAGCTCAGGGGTAGAGCAGTAGTCTCGTAAACTAAAGGTCGCTAGTTCGAATCTCCCATGAGACTCTATCTATTTCTTTGTTTCCAAAGTGAATTAAAATTTGAAAAATTGTTGGGAGTTAGCTATACTCCACTGAGGCTGAAGACGTGGAAAACGTTGGAAAACTTAAATTCCGAAATCCTTCATCATGTTTGCTTTAAAAATACGAATGGTATAGATAGCCTCGATCACCAGAGATTTGTACTCTGGACCACTGGTTTACTAGACCGGTGCACTAACCACTGAGCTAATGAGGATATTCGTTCTGTCATCCTTTTCCTAAAATGCTATGAAAACTTGGAACTGCTTATGCATGTATTTCTGCTTTTAGGTGAAACCTCTTTAAAGGTGGGTTCGTAATGGAGGGCGGATAATGATTTCTTGTGTTCAAATTAGTTAAAACCAATTTTTAAAATCCGTTACAAGACATCTAAATTCTAGAATTCTCATTGCTTGATTTCAAACTTCAACAACACGTTTTAGATTTCTTTTAAACTTTAAGTACTCCAAGCGGAAAATAATCGCTCACATATTCGTTGGTATTTTTGGATTTTCTACGTTTTCTACATAGAGCAATAATTATTTTTTGGCTAAGGAATTGTTGATTAATAATTCTATGTGAATAAAAGTCAATATTGATTCGGAATGGAGAAGAGTAGAAGAGATTTACAGGAGGAAACTTATTGCAAATTATATGGAGGGAAGTACAGAAATGGACTTACAGCAAATTAAATTTCTTTCTAGTACTTTGGCACAGTTAATTAAGACTGCAACCAATCATGCGTTAATATATCTTTCACAGTATAAAAATATGATTGCAGAAAGTTGTGCCTCATTAGCTCAGGGGTAGAGCAGTAGTCTCGTAAACTGAAGGTCGTGAGTTCGAATCTCTCATGAGGCTCTATCAATTTCTTTGTTTCCATAGTGAATTAAAATTTGAAAAATTATTGGGAGTTAGCTATAGTGCACTGAGGCTGAAGACGTGGAAAACGTTGGAAAATTTAAATTCCGAAATCCTTCATCATGTTTGCTTTAAGAATACGAATGGTATAGCCTCGATCATCAGAGATTTGTACTCTGGACCACTGGTTTACTAGACCGGTGCTCTAACCACTGAGCTAATGAGGCATATTCGTTCTGTCAACCTTTTCCTAAAATGCTATGAAAACTTGGAACTTCCTATATGCATGTATTTCTGCTTTTAGGTGAAACCTCTTTAGAGGTGGGTTCGTAAATTGAGGGCGGATAATGATTTCTTGTGTTCAAATTAGTTAAAACCAATTTTTACAATCCGTTACAAGACATCTAAATTCCAGAATTCTCATTGCTTGATTTCAAACTTCAACAACACGTTTTAGATTTAATTTCTTTTAAACTAGAAGTATTCCAAGCGGAAAATAATCGATCAAATTCGTTGGTATTTTTGGATTTTCTACGTTTTCTACATAGAGCAATAATTATTTTTTGGCTAAGGAATTGTTGATTAATAGTTCTACGTGAATAAAAGGCAACATTGATTCGGGATGGAGAAGAGTAGAAGAGATTTACAAGAGGAAAATTATTGCAAATTATATGGAGGGAAGTACAGAAATAGTGGACTTACAGCAAATTAAATTTCATTCTAGTGCTTTGGCACAGTTAATTAAGACTGCAACCAATCATGCGTTAATATATCTTTCACAGTATAAATATATGATTGCAGAAAGTTGCGCCTCATTAGCTCAGGGGTAGAGCAGTAGTCTCGTAAACTGAAGGTCGTGAGTTCGAATCTCTCATGAGGCTCTATCAATTTCTTTGTTTTCAAATATTTGTCCTGTCAACCTTAAATTTTCCTAAAATGTTATGAAAACTTGGAACTTCTTATTCATTTATTTCTGCTTTTAGTTGAAACCTCTTTAGAGGTGGGTTCGTAATGGAGAGCGGATAATGATTTTTTGTGTTCAAATTAGTTAAACAAAATTTTACAATCCGTTACAAGACAAATAAATTCCAGAATTCTCATTGCTTGATTTCAAAAACAACTAGCTTCAAATATCCAACGATATTTATTTTGTTCTCCAAAACAACGCACAATTAAGAGCCACATATGCGTCAGAGAATTTAACTCCGGACCCCTGCATGGTTGACAAGACCAGTGCTCTAACCACTGAGCTAATGAGGCATCTTATCATCAATGATGTTCTTAGCTTTGTATATTGGTAGCCAAATTATCTTGAACTACGAAGAAGGTTATTGTGAAAATTGAAAACAACTATCAGCCAATATGAAAAATGAACGTTGAAAACACGAAATGGCTTTGAGGTTCATTAGTATTACCTCATATCTGTATGGTAATTGCCGTACCAGTACATTACTGTAGTCTCCATAGACATTCAGTTATTATTTTGGTGCATCGTAGTTGTACGTGAATAAAAGTCAAGATTGTTTCGGGATGGAGAAGAGTAGAAGAGATTTACAGGAGGAAACTTATTTCAAATTATATGGAGGGAAGTACAGAAATAGTGGACTTACAGCAAATTAACTTTCTTTCTAGTCCTTTGGCACAGTTAATTAAGACTGCAACCAATCTTGCGTTAATATATCTTTCACAGTATAAAAATATAATTGCAGAAATTTGTGCTCCATTAGCTCAGGGGTAGAGCAGTTTTCTCGTAAACTAAAGCTAGGTCGCGAGTTCGCGAGTTCGAATCTCTCATGAGGATCTATCAATTTCTCTCTTTTCGTAGTGCACTGAGCCTAAAGAGGTGGAAAACGTTGAAGAACTTAAATTATTAACTCTTTTATTATGTTTGCTTTAAAGATACGAATGGTGTAGCCTCATCAGAGATTTGAACTCTGGACCCGCTCAGGTATGTTAATGCATGGGTCTGCCCACGCTTGGATAATGTCTTGCGCGCGTGTTGCACGCGCGATCTGTCAGTAATGCGTCTGTTAGAATATGCGCCCCCTGTGCGAGTATTTTAGTGAGTTCGGGCGTTTGCTTCAAATCAAAATATAGTATATATGAGCGACAAGATTATTTTGGAATATACAATGCAAAGAAGTCGGTATACTATTCAGTTTTTATGTAATAATTGGCTCTTTGTATAGCAATAAGTATTGTATCATTTGCGACAGCTGACCTTTGAACTGGTGATAAATAAAAGCTTCTTATAGTGCGCTATCTTGCAATTATTCAGTATTAATTGTTTCTTATTTTCAATGAAAAATTGCTTGTGAATTATAAATTAATTATAGCACGTATAGTTTAGTCGGTCTTTTCCACCATGGCATGCTTCCCTTCAAGCATTAACTATGCTTCAAGATATCGTCTTGAATGCGCAGTGAATGTTGTTATTGGAAATATAATCCCTTACAATAAGCGGCAGACTGTTTTATAATGGCGCGTTAAATTCATCACGCGAAAAACGCCTTCGACTTGCAACAGGGTAATTTGACGAACTCTTGCTATTTTTATTAGCTAAAAGCATTATCAAGGGAACAAAGTTTCTTGCGTTAATTTGGAAATCGAACATTTATTTGTAGATAACATTTAATGACGCGATTAACATTCGTTTGATGCCGATCGTCGTAATATAGCCGCATAAAATAATGAAACGATCGAAGCCTAAATGTAAACTTTCCAGATTTATTCAATAAACAGTGATATTATGTGTGAATGACTATCGCAATTCTGCGTCCTCTCAGTCACGAATTATACTGCTGCAGAGCCTCTGAATAAAACTTATCATTTTTTGTGTTGTTTTTCGAAATATACATCACGTGATCGTTGCCATGACAACGAAAAGTAGGTCAACATTTAGAATCTCCTTTGATAAATCATATAAACCTTGAATGGTAATAATCAAGGCCATACTTATTTTTTTATGATTTTTTTGTCTATTTTCGCAAAATGCACAAAGCATTAACATACCTGAGCCCTGGTTTAATTCCCCTGAGCTAAAGAGGCATATTCGTTCAGTAAACCTTTTCCTTAAATGTTATGAAAACTTTGAATTTCTTATGCATGTATTCCTGCTTTTAGTTGAAACCTCTTTAGAAGTGGGTTCGTAATGGTGGGCGGATAATATATTTCTTGTGTTCAAATACGTTAAACCAAATTTTACAATCCGTTACAAGACATCTAAATTCCAGAATTCTCATTGCTTGATTTGAAAAACATTCAGCTTCAAATATTCAACGCCTATCTTTTCACGAACAATAAATCTGTCACTGGAACCATACAGTATTGATTTTGCTCTCAAACACTACTCACAATTAAAAGCCCCATCAGAGAATTAAACTCCGAACACTGGTTTACAAGACCAGTGCTCTAACCGCTGAGCTAATGAGACATCCACCATTGACGTTCTTAGCGTTTGTATTTTGTTAGCCAAATTATTTTGAGCTACGAAGAGGGTTTTTGTGAAAAAAGGGAAAACAACTATAGACAGTAATATTATGAAATATGATCTTTGGAAAACACGAAATGTCTTTGAGGTTCATTAGCTCATTTTCCCCGAGCCAACGTCGAGGAGCGCCGTTCCGGGCGTAAGCCCGGGGCGAGGGTACTACTTCTCCCGGCTATTTACACGCGGGGTAACGAAAGCAATAGCGAAGTCTAAAGTTCATCTATGATCGCGGGCGTGACCAACGATTTTGAGTGCGTGGTCACCCTCACTGATCTAAAAAATATCGCCGATTGCTTGTAGGAGTGAGATAAGTAAGATTTCAATTTTAAAAGACACATATTTGGGAAATCGTTTCATATACAACAAGCTTGACGCAATTTTGTTTGAAGAAATGAAAAGAACTGATTTACTATGGGAAATCGTGAAATATACGGCGAGTCGTTTGCTTTGAATATTTAATGTTTACGAATTTTGTTGCTTTAAATTTTGCCTAAAAACATGAATTGTTTTCTTTTTCAACGAAGCTCTAAGCATAAATTACCGTTTAATTTGAGAAAAAATCTTAAAATGTACAGAAGAACAAATTGATTTTAAGACTGAACTGAAATTACCTAACAATTTGTTTTATTTGTATCAAACTTATTATGTTTTATTAAGTAAAAACAGTTTATGGGCGAATGTAGTTTAGTTGAATGAACATTTCAAAACATTTTACGAGGCGTTTCAAGTTCAATTTTACATCAAATCAAAGCTCACAAAATGCAAAATAATATACCTACAGTATATATTTCGGATATTTATTGTTGTATAGTTAAAAGTACGAATCTTTAAACTATTTTACAGTTTTGTACAAAAAAATATGAAAAATTAAAAATTTAAGAATATCGTGTAGTCAGGGCAACACTTGAGCGCGAGCCTGCGTTCGGGCATTTCTGAATATACTTCATGTTAATTTAATGTTTCGAAAATATTGGTGAGGGGTTACTGCATGCATCTATTTCTAATATAGTAATTGCCTTACCAGTACATTACTCTATACTCCATAGATCTTCGGTTATGTTTTTGGTGCATTATGGTTCCCACTTCATTTTCGGCCTTTCCAGCGCAGAACTTTATATATATGTTTCTCGAATAAACCAGCTGAATTTTTTTTTTTAACTTGAAGTACTCCAAGCAAAAATAATCACTTAAATTCGTTGGTATTTTGGATTTTTTACGTTTTCTACATAGAGCAGTAATGATTTTATGGCTAAGAGAATTGTTATTACTAGTTCTACGTTGAATTAGCTACCCATGTAATCAGAATTTGTTGAATAAAAGTCAAGATTTGTAGGAGGAAATTTATTGCAAATTATATTGGGCGAAGTACAGAAATAATGGCTTACAGCAAATTAAATATCTTGCTCGTGCTTTGGCACAGTAATTAAAACCACAACCAGTCATGCGTTAATATATCTTTCACAGTAAAAGTATGGTTGCAGAAAGTTGTGCCTCATTAGCTCAGGGGAAGAGCAGTAGTCTCGTAAACTGAAAGTTGTGAGTTCGAATCTCTCATGAGGCTCTATCCATTTCTTTGTTTCTTAGTGAATTAAAATTAAAATTGTTGGGAGTTAGCAATACTGCACTGAGGTTGAAGAGGTGTAAAACGTTGGAAAACTTAAATTAGAGAATATTTTATTAGCCTATGTTTGCTTTAAAAATAAGGATTGTAGCCAGATCAAAGATTTGAATTTTGGAACCCTGGTTTGCTAGACCAGTGCTCTAACCGCTGAGTTAATGAGGCATATTCACACAGTCAACCTTTTCCTAAAATGTTGTGAAAACTTGGAATTTTTTATACATGTATTTCTGTTCAAACACCTTTAGAGGTGCGTTCGCAATGTTCAAATTAGTTGAACCAAATTTTACAATCTGTTGCAAGACATCTAAATTCCAGAATTCTCATTGCTTGATTTGAAAAACGTCCAGCTTCAAATATTCAACAACTAATCTCGAACAGTCTAGCTAGGGAATTAAGGACCCAAACTGCAATACAACTTCCCGAAAATATATAAAAAAGCTTTCGAGCGAAGGTCCGCGTAACGTTTCGAAACGTCGGCGATGTTGTGTTTTTCTTTTCAAGAAGTTGTATATATAGACTTAAAATAACACTGCTTCATCTTGAAATGTGTAGTTAATTTAAATGAATATAATAGCGGCTGCCATGCAGCTATCTAGATCACGAAGTTTTTACGCATCACATGGGTATGTCAGCATGGTTGACACTTCCTCAGATTTCCCCCAATGTTTGCTTAACATGTCAATTTACACTATAATTTAAATTAACCTTGCATTAAAGCGCAAGACTCCCCTTCACTCCCATATGATGAGTAAATTCGTGTGTTCATATATGTTCATGGGATTTTTAGTACAAATCGGATAAAAATTAAAGAAATTGAAGCATACTGGCGCTTTTGCTTGTATTTTTAACAGGCATGCAAAGAAATTTGCCACAGATACCAGGAGATACGTTGGGTGGTGGCGAGGTTCTCTAGGGTACCAGCACATTGCCCTGATCCAGGAAATCGCGGTCACTACATGGACATGTTCAAGACTCCGACTACGCTGAATGATGGAGAACAACAACCTGTTGATAATTTCGCTCCTAGAGCCAATCTAAAACGGTTTTTTAAAGACGGTGTCATTTCATCTGACGATAGTGAGGTGAAAGAAGCAGCTAGTCACGTCGTTTTTTTTTGTTGAAGAGAAGAACGTGCTTGAGTATATCAGACATCTTGAGGAACTGCAATTTGTTTTTGCGATAAGAGAGAATTCCGGATTGTACTGCTTTGATTCCAGATTCTGGTGGGAGGGAGGGGGCCAATATCGCCAACAGGGGCCCTGAAAAATATGAGCTTTTTTCAAGGCATCTACATCCCCCCCCCCCTATCGGCATAATAAATAAAATTAAATAGAATTCCTTTAAGGAGAGTTAAATAAATAAGTTTCCTTTAAGTAGAGCTAAATAAAATATGACAAAAAGGACTTATTCGACAAACCCGTTAACGTACGTGGTAAGTTTGTGAGAAAATTTAGTCCATCCATAATTGAGGGTGGCCTATACTCTGGGACGGTACGTCTGGGGCCTTAAATCACGAGAGACGAGTTAAGGTGATGAATGGAATGTTAAATGATGCATGCATGTGCAGTGCCGTAACGCTGATTGGGTAGGGTTAGTTAAAAAAAAAGGACTCTCGTCAGTTAAGGGCCCCCATCAGTCACGCCCTATTACCCAGAAAATTAGAAAACGTAAAAAAATGCGGGTTAAGAATTAATGGGAAAATGCAAAATTAATAATGCTAAATAATAAAGTCTCCATCGACAACGGCAGCTGATTTTTTATCCTATCTCAAATATAAAACAAAAGTTATTCTCATTAGTTGTTACATGTGTTGGAGACTGTTATTGTTATAGACACGGCATTTTCCAGAACATTCTATAAATATTCAATATAAATATAATATCTCGTTAATAGCCAACAGGGGCCCCCACACCAAATTTGCCTAAGGGCCCCCTCTTCCTTCTTTGCGCCATAATGATTGTGCATGTGAGTTGAGTTAAGATGACGTTGGAAAGACAAAAACACCCGGCTTCGCTACAAAGAGCCTGGACATCACGAAACGAGTACAGGATGATGCGCCTATTCTCAAAATTTATAAAGAAAAAATTGAGTGAAATTCTGGATGCCAATTGATACACCCACGAATGCCTTGTAAATTTACATACGCAGATTTTAGTGGTGGTGCAATCTTCAGAATTATTCACACGTATGCCATCGGAGAAATAAAATTAGATCTTTCAATTTTATTTATTTTCCACCAAATACAAGAGCTAAGACCAAGGGGGGATTTTGTTCTCGATCAATCAGCGCATTAATTTTGTTGATAATTTCGCTCTATTAAACCCAATAATAATGAGTAAATGATTATTGTGGGTAGTTTCCCTGCAAGCACAGAAAGCCTACTTCCGGCAAAAATATACATTTGAACTGAAAATATAGGGTCCTAAATAAATCTTCGAGGAGGCCAGGATATTTAATTTTTTTGATTGGATTCAACGTAGCAAAGTAAATTAAAAAAATGTTCTAAAAATTTGCCGCTGGTATTCGCGCTTTATTGCCTGGTTCTTAAATTTTTCGGCATTCGAACTTGCGCGCTTTTTATATGCTGTTCTTCGAATGCTGATAACTTTAAAACCAGGAACTAAAACGCAAATTGCAGCGGCAAAATTTTGGAAAATTTCTTATTTTACCTTGTTCGAAGGTTTATTTAATACTCGATATTTTCTGTTCAAATGTGCGTTTTTACCGGAAGTAGTAACCAATTACGCATTTTGATTGGTTAAGAACGAAATTGTCAACAAATGAATTGATTGGTCGAGAACGAAATTCCTCCTTGTTAGAGCTAAAACTATATAATAGTCCATATCATGAAGATAATTTTCATTATTTTCTCACTTTGATATCTCATGCTGATCGACCATGAACCATCTGTTGCATTATAGTGGGGGAGGAGGGGGGGGGGGAGGGGTGCTAAGTTGCTTACTGAATCCCATCAATAAATATAACTAATTTGTTTTTTGAAGAATCGGCACTTTTATTGTTGTTATTTTTTTTGCAAATCTTTCGTTCGTTCCATAAGTCCGGATTATCAGTTAGCACTGATAAAGAACTGAGCACACGAGTTTACATATTAATGAACACATTCTTTCGTATATTATGCAAAACCCTGCATAATCATGAGCACATGCATATGTGTATTATAGATCCACTTAAATCTGTAGCTATAGGGTTTGTAGATGGTTTGTAGTGCTCGATATACCGAAGTATAGAGCTAATAAAGATAAAGATAAAATGAACCTGGTTTACTTCGTAAGATTTATTCACTACAAACTTGTTTCGTATGACAAGCAATGCTTGCCACACTCATCAGGTGAATTTAAATCTCATCAGGTGAATTTAATTTCCGGACTAACATAAGCATGGTCAAAAAAATTTTCCCGACTAACACGAGCATATTCAAAAAAATTTTTTTTGCACTAACATAAGCATATTCAGAATAAATTCACCTGATGAGTGTGGCAAGCATTGCTTGTCATACGAAACAAGTTTGCAGTGAATAAATCTTATGAAGTAAACCAGGTTCATTTTATCTTTATGTATATATATATATATATATATATATATATATATATATATATATATATATATATATATATATATATATATATATATATATATATATATTGGGGGGAGGGGGCGTGTCTTCATGTTTTGACCAACATTTCCTAGGATTTTGACCAAGTCGTACAGATTTTTCCCGAAAACGTTGTCGACAGGGGGGAGAGGTCAAAAACATTTTCCGGACTAGCATAAGCATGGTCAAAAAAATTTTCCCGACTAACACGAGCATATTCAAAAAAACATTTTTTGCACTAACATAAGCATATTCAGAATTTTTCGGCCAAGATAAGCAAGGTTTCTAATTTTTTCACCACACACGTTGGTCAACTATTTAGCAAAAATTTCTCCCACTCGGGCGGGCTTCTATTGTCAGCGGACATCTTACGGAAAGAGGACAGTTCTGTGCAAAATGCAAAAGTTTCAATTTTTCACCCCAAGTCCGCTGAGAATGCGAGCCTGGGGTACTGGGAGAAAATTTACTGAATATTACCAGTGTGACAAACACGGCAAAAGCTTTAAAATTGTTAAAATTGCGAACCATTTCAATAATTTGAGCAACTTACACCATCTTTTGTCCCAAACTTTGACCAAATTTTTCCGAGTTTTACCATCAATTTTAGGCAAATATCAGTTCCATTTTGACCAACTTTGACCAACGTTTGAATTATTGGGGGTGGGGGTGGGGGTTACACTTCCCCCTCCCACACACACACACCCTATAGCGACGTCCCTGGTTAGACCTAATCAGGAGCAGTTGCCACCAAATTCTGCCTACGTATGAACACGAGGCCTGAGCTTATTCTTTGTTTGCAATCAGTCCAATCACGTGACGTTTCATCCAAATGACGGGTAATCAAGCAACTTGTGGACGATTTTTCTCCTATCAGAATGGTTGTAGCAAGAAAACTGAACGGTAATTCATCATTCGAGTCTTAAAGTGTCTCTTAACTCGATCAATACATTGTTATACCTGCCCGTCAACTGAAATCCCAAAATTACGTCATTGCAAACAAAGAATACCGTAGCCGAAGGTTTTGTGGCCAAATTCAATGAAATGTACAGAAAACGAAGTGGAATTTATTAAACAGCCCTAAAATACTCGAATTAATTAGCTTTGAATTGTTTCCATAGTTTTTCACGTTCAACACATATCTCGCGTATAGGTATATGCGCTCTTTCTCTTCCCTGACTTATTTTGAATAACGACGTACAAAGTAAAATATAGTAACTGATTAGTGAGTTTAAGATGCCGACAACGAACAATGGGTACGGAGTACGGTTGAAAGCTTGTTTTCGCATTGTTTCAAGAGAGGCAGACAAAATTAATTTACATATCCCCAGACCATAATTTTCACCGTAGTGACCTTGGGTACAGCGTAAAAATCACATTCTTGTGTTGTAAAATACAATCAAGAACGTAGCACCGAAACTGACTACGCAACGTTGCAGGTTGGAGAGTGTTTTTATAAAGAAATTATGAAAATTAAAAGATGAAACTTACCGAACACAAAACCATGCACATAAACATATTTGGGATAAATTTGTTAAGACAAAAATTTAGAATTTGCATACATATACAGGGTGTATAAAAAAAACTGAACAGATTTGAAATTGCTCTTAATTTCGCAAAACAGCTACTATAGTATCCAGTTTTTGATGTATTTAGCTTCTTTGGGTACTCATAATGTAGAAAAGTGAAAAAAATTTCTCGATCTCAAATTTGGTGAACCACGGGGGGTGTCTTTTCCAAAAAACTAAAAATGGCTTGCCCACGAAATTTAGAAGCTTTAATCATATTTTAAGTTAATAGATGAAACATTTGTTGGGTTTTTAATTACTGTACAAAACTTCAGACAATTTTCTTTGGTTTAAGTCCCTTAACTATTCATTTTTCTCTAAAAAATTAGCCTTTCGCATGCTTAATTAATGCTTTTACCTAATTTGCATATTGCTGAGCGCTTGAAGTGTACGCTTGAAGTGGAAAACCGGCTTTAAACTCCCTATTGTGTGCAAACGACCTATACGTGTATGCTCCCAGGGCTCGTTGATTCGTATAACGAACTGAGGATTATACGACGAACGCGGCCTTCTAATAGGGCGCTCTAAACATCGAAATTCTACTTATATTTTCCAGGTATAGTTGCACAGTGGCGGAAATCTTGGGGGGGGGCTTCGTCCCAACTTCACGGAAAATTGACGAATTTTCGGAAATTTTGACCTAAAAGAGGGCTAAAAAGAGTCTTTTCGAGTGAAAATTGGGGGGGGGGGTTATGTCGGAAATTTGAAAGTTTTGTCGGAAATTTAGGAGGCTTTGCCCCCCCCCCCGGAAAAGTGAATTTCCGCCACTGTAGTTGCATCCCTACCAATGAAAACTTGTCGCAACTTTTCACGCCTTTTTACGAAGCTTTAGATGGTCGTTACCGTGTAGCTTTCGTACAACCGGTCCATGCATGTATTTTATTCATTAAAAAATTACGATCGTGTATAGAGGACATTTAGCGATCGTTGCTCACTTCAGATACTACTGCATGAGCTAATACCAGATGGTTGGGTTATGAAAGAAAAAGCTTAGATTCTTCCACTTTTACACGCTTCGCGCTTACAACCCCTCTTCAATTCGGAAATCAAGCAACGAATTCGCATAATAATAATATTAATAATAATAATTATAATAATAATAATAATAATAATAATAATAATAATAATAATAATAATTTTTTTTTAAACCATTTACAAATCAATTACATAGCCTGACCCATATAGTCATACATTTATGAGTCCAGACCAAATTTTCCCTAACTACACTTAATAAATAAGACAACAGTTCTCTGAATAAGCAGGTCCGTTATCTACACTGTCACACATTAGTAGCTAATAGAAGTTAAGCTTTTCAGGGCAAGACCAGTTCTTATTTCTCTTACAAAATATATAGAAAGTGGCACGAAGTGCAACCTCCATACATTTTGTTATGATACGATCGTCTTGCAAATTTAACAACCTACATAGCCTACGAAATTGGCCTATACTCTTCGTGACGAAGCCTAGAGTAGTGACTTCCAAAGTTATAACTTTAAATCTATCACACCGTACGAGTAACTGTGATCGCAATGCCCGATATTTTTCTTGTTTACGTCGTCTTGCAATCATGCAGTTCGTTTCATATGGGACAGTCAATTCAATCACATACAAATCTCTTTTATAACGAATCGTAATATCTGGCCTTAACGCTTGAAACAGATTGGACGTACATTTCAAACCAGAGTCTGGACAATCGGCAAAAATCTCCAGGTCTTCCGACATCACTCTCCTTAAGTGATGAAGAATGGTGTTTAATATAGAATCATGCCTCCACGTATACCGATGTTGTTGTAACGCTACAGGGCAATATGAAAGAACATGAAGTTGTGTTTGAATTTTGTTGCAAAGGTCACAATTTGGAGAATCTCGAATGTTCCAGCGCTTGAGGTTAGAATTGTTGCTCAAGTTAAGCACTAGAGCCCGTCTTGCAAAACAAGTTATATTACGGGGTAGTCTGCAAACCATTTCTTGCCAAAAGTGCAGTATTTTCTTGTTGCACGCTTCAGTTAGATAGTTTATAATAATACTTTGTTCCTTTAGCGTAATAAAATTTGCCCAAATATCATTTGTACTTTGCTGTTTCAATAACTTATTTGTTCCGGTTTTCAGTTCGTATCCATTTGTTACATTTGATGATACTTTCTCAATTATTTCATCCGTATTAATATTTTTGGAAGATGTTACAGAATACAGATGTTGAATAACACTGTTCCTAGATGTTTTCAATATGCGCCTAACCGAAAGTTTGCATTGTAAATATATATCTGAAGCAGAGCAAAAGTCAATCCCTAGATATGATTTTGGTAGTTTTAGACGAGTGATATTGCCACTAATCGAGATCTGTAACCATTTTCGAATATACTTGGAAATAACTGGCTCAATATTTTGCTTTATCCAGGTCTCAGTAAAGGGGTATATAGAAAATCGCCAACGGAGCTTTGAGTAAACATAATTCTGAATGATCCTGATTTTCGAAAAAGGATTCATGGGGAAAAGGTCTATTTTCTGCAGATATTCGTCGATTTCACTTAGTATCTCTACTTTGATCTGATCGCATTCCATATTAAAGTTAAATTGCTTTCCGAGATAGTTAAACCCCTGTTCGCATTCAATCGGCGGTACACGCTTGCCCGAGATGATAATAACTGGTTGGTATTGAATTGCTTTTGAGGATTGCTTCTTGATTCCAAAAGTATGGCATTTCTCAACACGAATATGCAAATCCGCCCACGTTGACCATTTATTAAATACATTACAAAGCAATTGATTGTCCTCTTCATGTGCACTTAATATTGCTGTGTCATCCGCAAATTGGAACCAGTGCCTAGGGTACATCGTTGCGTTATTTACATAGCCAAGACATTTTAATTTCGCGTCGTTTATTGTGTGAATCAAAGAATTTACACAAAGATTAAATAACAAGGGTGATAAACAATCACCTTGTAACACGCCTCGTTGCACTGGAATTGGTTTCGTAATGAACCCTTTCGTAATAATTGAGATACTGAAATCAGAGTAGAGATTCTCAACAAAGCATATAATTTCTTCAGGAATGTGATGAGCTATCAAGATAGTTCGTATAAGTTTATGATGTACCTCACCAAAGGCATTTTTCAGATCAATTAAAGTAACCACAAGAGATCTTTGCTTATTTCTGGCATGGTTAATAATATGTGATAATAACTCCGTATGTTCAATAGTCCCCGAAATTCCAGGCCAAAAACCTTTCTGGATTCCCGACTCAATAAATTCGTTTTCGCAAACAAACTTAAAGATTCTATTCCTTAACAATGATGTTATGACTTTTAGCAAAACAGGCTCTAGACAGATAGGACGGAAATTAGCAGGATCCTCAGTTGAATCTTTTTTATGGATCAATATCGCCGCCGCGTGCTTCCAGACAGATGGAATATTTTTTTCGTTCCAGCATTTACATATAATTCTCCATAAATGCGTTCTTAAAATTGGACAACGTTGAAACGAAATAATGCTCATTTGGTTGAAAGGACATGCAGAGCCACGACTTTTCATTTTTCTGATTATTTTGGAGATCTCACGATACATAGGACATTCTAAGTCGAAATCTTTACTTGCGGATGGAAATGAACTCAACCAGGACGGCCAATTAAACAAACGACTTTTACTTTTCTCCTTAAATAAGTTCTTAAAATAATCGAAACACGACTGTTCGCTCAAGTTTGGTTCAAGCCCTTCAGTGTTTTCAAATTCATTTTTACAAAACTTCCAAAAGTTCTCATTTAATTCATTTTCATAATCCCGCTGGTCATAAACGCTTGACTGCATTCTTTTTCGCAATAACTTACTGACAAATTTTATTTCCTCCAAGCAGCCTCCGTGCGATTTTAAATCTTTTAAGCATTTTTTTAACTTTGATTTTGACATACTTCCATAGTGTTCAAATTTATTAGCCGACTTTACCAAACCACATGTATCCTTAAAGTAAGACCAGATAACGTTATTCATGAATACAATTTCCGAATCCAAGTCTCCCAGCTCTGGTCTAACACTGAATTGTGACTGAAAAAACTCGTTAGCTGCTTTCCAACTAAGATCCGATCGAGGAAGTTTTACTCCTGATAGCACTTTAAACTTATCGGTCGGAAACAGAACTTCGGTCATGCTTTCATTACTATTTGCAATAGTAATGCTATCATCTTGTTGAGCAAACAGTTCAGCAAAGCACGGGTTGTTCTGTACAAAGCACGATCGGCGATGTAAATTTAGTGAACGATAACTATTAAATGTACGCCCGCAATAACACATAAAACTTTCTCCTGCGACATTAGTCGACCCTACCGTACATGTATTATTATCCGCAGATGTTGAAGAAGACGCTCTCTCCGTGTTAGGTGAGTTTCCGACACCAGTTCGTGATTTGCAACGCCATTGATGTCTGCCCAGCGATTTGAAATCCTTTCCACAATACTCGCATATCGTTGCATTGCAGGTCAATATTTGCCCAAAAATAACGATCAATACCACACAAAGCACCATAATGATCCCTTTCATACTCAAGGTGAAGTTCCAAAAGCTCAAAACTAATGTTAGTGCAGTTAAACTACATGAACTATTCAAAAAGTACAGGAGCGCCGTGAGCGTGAACTGCCCACCTCGCTGGTCACTGTAATAATAATAATAATAATAATAATAATAATCTGACGAGTATTTCTGTTACCCTTTATTAATTAACAAAAAGTACATACATGCCACTGACACCTGAATCCTGTTAATTCTACAGCTAAGTTTTTGACAGTAAAGAATTTAATAAACTTGTTGAGTTAACAAAGAAAGAGGTTTCCGTTAATTCTCAATTGGATCATCATTGCTCACAATTACACATCTGAATTGTGAATTGTTCAGGGGATCCAAACATTTCATTGGAAATACACAATTATAACATTCGCTGTGGTCGCTGCATGGCATCTCGTTATGTGGGCAATTAAATTGAGCAAGGTTTCGAACTTTCCAATGATCGGGAGTCACCTAAAAGAATAATAAGGATATTGTCAGAAATTATAGATAGTTATTATTATTACTATTATTATGAACTATATTTCAACATGGTACAATTTCACCTATACTAAAATTAATTATGTACAAGATATAAAAAGAAAAAATGGTGATCTTCCAACCGGCCGTGCTCACACAAGCAGAAATAAGAAATAATTACAAGAAAATTATTTTAGGTAGATGGAAACAATGGCAGGATTACTTGATGTTAATTTGCTTGCTTCAAGTTAGATTTAAAATTAGCAATAGTTGTTGTTGCTTTACCGATGCAGGAAGGCAGTTCCCGACTTCCGCACATCTGTAGGAGAATGCATTTTTCATACTATTTGTTTTTGGCTTAGGCAATGTCAAATCGGCTCCCGACTGTCTTGTATTATGGTTGTGTACATTACTCACATTTGTGAACATATCATACAAGTAATCGGGGACCAATTTGTTTTTCACCTTGTACATGAGAATTGAAAGTTGTTGCATTCTTCTTTTTTCGAGGTCCGGAACTATTAGCTTGTTTAATATATCAACCGATCGTGTCGTATAATTCTCACGAGTGATTATTCGAAACGCTCTGTTTTGTAATTTTTGAACTTTAGCTCCTAATGTTTTCCCTAAGCAATCCCACACTTGAGCAATAAGGTTATTAAGGTATTGAATTCGACTGTATCCTGGAGTCGTCTGAGAATAGAAGGGCCTGAGGTGACCTTTTTTGAAATGTGTTCGACCTGCGCGGTCCAGTCAAAAGACTCGTCTATCATTGGGCCCAATGATTTTGTCATTTCAACTCTCTTAATTTCTAAGTTACCTATACTGATAGCAGGATCGGCAGTCACTTGAATAATCCTTTTCTTGGAACCAATTATCATATATTCGGTTTTACTATTGTTCAGAGTTAATTTGTTTGCGGACAGCCAATTTGCAACATTGTTTAAATCTCTATTTAATGTTTCAGTGATAACTCTGATTCGTCACTTGATGTTGCAATTTGGGTATCCTATCACCCGCAAACATATCTGGTTTTGTCGTTTATGGTAAATCATTAATGTAAATTAGAAATAACAATGGGCTTAAACCAGAACCCTGAGGTATGCCTGTTTTCATAATTGATGGACTTGATAGTTTGCCATTCACACAACAGCACTGGGTCCTATTTGACAGATACGACTCCAGCCAGCGATGTGCCGTTCCCTTTATTCCATAAGTTGCTATTTTGTCTAAGAGTATATTGTGGTCGACAGTATCGAATGCTTTTTTCAGATCCAGAAACACATGTCAATATTTGTATACCACTCGTTGGTTATGTCCAGTGAATTTGGTTATGTCCAGTAATGCTGTAACGGTTGGGAGTTTGAAAGTAGTCTAAGATTATAGTTATGTAAATAATTATAAATTTGGTTATAAATCAGCTTTTCCGCAATTTTAGCAACTGATATAACGGATATTGGTCTGTAATTTGTCATTTCATCTTTAGCTTCAGACTTAATAAAAGATCGGAGTAATTCTAGCGATTTTCCAATCATTGGGAAATATGCCTGTTAAGATTGACTGGTTGAATATTGATGTTAGGGATGGTGAAATAACTGTGCCGAAAGTGTTAATATACGAGAGGAGATACCATCGATTCCCGATGCTTTATTGCGCCCTAAACCATGAAGTAGTTTCAAACATCATTTTCTGAAATTTCTTGAAAGCTAGGGAGCCCATTAACTGGATGGTGTACATCACTGAGAAAACTATCCGGTAAAATATTCGATCGAGGAATTTTATTCGCAAGTTTTTCCCCTAGTTCAACAAAGTATTTATTAAAGGCATTAGGGATCAGCGTTTCGTCAATTACACCATTCTCATCTTTCATTTCTGGGATTTTATTATTAGTTGACTTTCTATTCATCAATTCGTGGAGTTTATTTTCTGGTAGTCACAAATTATTTTCTGGTAGTCCTGCTCGTTTGAAATTCACAAAGAAACAGCTGGTGTATAGCTCATGGACTATCGGACACAAGGTGGAATGCAAGAATCGATGCTGTACGTAATTTAGTGGAGAATCACATGAAGTTGCTTCAGGGCGTTTCTCAAAATCAAACAGACCTTGATTTGACAGATTTGGGCTACAGTTATGCTGAAGTTCCACTTGAATGGATGATGTTATTTGAATATATTTTAATGGAAACATTTTAATTTGGTTCAAAGTTCTCCAGTGTATTGACGATGTTAACAATGAAGTCGTTACAGTAGCAGATATTTCCATTAAGCATCGTTTGTGATTACGAAATGATATACAAGATCTTAGAGATTCGTGGGAAAGCGTTTTTGAAGGGGTAAAATTAGTTTCTTCTTCGTTGGGGCAAAGCACCACTTTAAAAAGAAAGATCGCGCACAATGATGGCAAAACATCACAACGGCAGATGTTGTGACAGGAGATACTCTTATCCAACATTTTGAAAGAGTAAAATCAAATTAAATCAACAACAGGTGCTCGACTGAGCATTCATAAATGAGTGACATTTACAATCAGAGTCGACCAGAGGGTGGGGAGGCAAAACGGGGCCCCAAACAAGGATAAAGTAAAATATGTAAATAAACGAGATTGGAATATTCTCCCACAATGCAGGAATTGCTATTCTCTAGACTCTAGATTTTCACATTTTCCCCAGGGAGAGTGCCCTCGCCAGTCGCCCCTCGGGCCTCCTAAACTATTTAACTACAGAATACACATTGGAATTGTCGCTATAAACATTCAAAACCGAAAGAATAATCATGCTAATTTTCTTGCAAAGCTTGATAAATTCGAAATATATTTGGGGGGTTACAATATCAAACTACCTATCGGCGTTTTAAGCGAAGGTCTTTCGTCTGAAAGACCGGGGCCTTTTATATGTAAACATTCATTATATGCAGGCTTTCGTGTGTGCGTTTGGCACTTCATACTGATGTTTTATACCCGTTAGGCGTTAAATTTAGCTATTTCTAAGTTAGTAGTATCGTTAGATATTACATTTACTATTCATAATATTTTCAGTCGTATATGATTGCCTATATATAGTTGAAACCTATAATTAGCACTTGCAAACTTGTACATTCCAATGAGGCAACACAATTGTTTTAACGATTTTCTTATTTTTTTCAAATTGTTCTCAAGAAAAGCATCTTGTTCTGCCTGTTCGCCCTATACGGGCTTAGATGGCTTGGTCCTCTGAGAACATTGTTGAATTTTGATTCTCTGGAACGTATTTTTTTTCATTTCGAGGTGACATTGTGCAAGGAAGAATTGTACGTCATAACCAGTGTGTTCAACAGCACTACAAAACACGCTTGTTCCAAAACATATACAAAAAATAATTACTAACGAAATAGGGCTAGTTTTTCCCTGGGTTCCCCAACATGGGGTGTGTAAAAGCCTTGCCTTACTCTCGCCTTTGCACTATCGGATCTTTGAATGCATATAAATGGTTCTAAATATTCACGTCCGTATATATTATTCAACGTATAGATAAAATACGCTTTACTGCAATGAATCCCTTATACTCACCTTGAGTAATACTTTGGATTCTCCTGAATGCAGATTGAAGATCAGGAGACAGAGCAAGAACTGTCGATAAAAACACATCATTGATACTTGAGTTAGAATTACCGTATTTCAGCAATATAGATGAAAATTCTTACGTGCACTGAGTGCTAAATGGCTACATTCCACATAAACTAGACTTATATAAATGTTTTATGGTGTATAAATATTGGGGAAAGGTGGGAATTCGCACGCACGCTCTCACGCTAATTATACTTTCAATGCAAACTAATAGGTTCATTAAGACGAAATTCAGGCTAATTCGTTTGTAACACCTTCAATTTTGTTAAGCATTTGTTATAAATGCGATTTAGTCTCACGACCAATATAACATAGTTATCTAATTTGCTAAAAACAAAGCTATCTCATTATTTCGCCAGTCGTAATTCTGCATACCTTGCTTCCATACATTAATTCGTGCGTAGGTCAGTTCAGACATGAAGAATATCGAATTGAACAATTATAATGAATTATAATAATGAATCAAAAATTAGTTTTCTGCACGATTAAATGTATATTTCTTGAAGTATACGCAATTTATATGAAATTTAGAACATTTAAACTTTCCAATTCTGTCGAATGTACACAAGTGCAAAAAATCGCTTATATATTAGAATGATTGGGTCACGATGCATGAGGGCGAATAAAGACTCATTGGCCCATATTCGCTAGTGGACATGCATGGATTGCTCGGTCCATATTTGCTAGCAGATTTGGATCTGGGGGGGGGGGGAGCGGATCCATTTTGAAAGCGGTCCAAATCGGCTGGGAAACCGGCGCAAACTAGAGATTTCTACACTACATGTTCAAAAATGTGCATAAATGTTAGCCATCGAGTGATAGTTCAATCAACTTGACCGGTAACCGTAAGCCATGCAGTAGTGGTAATCGCTGGCGACTCAATAGTAAAGAATGTAGTTGGACCATCTATGAGCAAATCTGACGCAGACCACCTCTACGTTGTTAAATCTTTTTCTGGCGCAACTATTTCCGACATGGAGGATTTTATCAAACCTACAACCCGCAAGTCACCGGACAAAATTATCCTCCATGTCGGCACTAATGATCTGAAAAATTCTACGCCGAAAGTTATTACCGATTCTATTTTGAATCTGACAACCCAAATCAAAGAGGATTCTCCTAACTCCATGGTAGGTGTTTCTGCGTTGTTAATCAGAAATGATTGCCCGATATTAGCCACCAAGGTTAATCAAGTCAACTCCACCTTAGAAAATCTTTGTCATATGAACAATATTCCCTTCCTTAAAAACGCTAACATTAACACTAGTCACCTCAACAGTAGAGGTCTCCATTTAAATAAATTAGGCAGTATATCCCTCCAAAACAATTTCAAAGAGTTTATAAATAACTTAGAAAATTGACATGATATTACGTTGTCTAGAGTTGCTAATTCAGTAAATAATGTTCAATCTAAGACTATGCAAACTACTTCTAACATTCAAAACCTGCTCTTGCCAAACAGGAGTGGCTTTAAACTTGCCTCAATTAATATCACCAGTTTAGTCAAACATATTGATGAGCTTAGAATCTATCTATCAAATAATGTGATTGATGTACTGGCTATTAATGAGACAAGGCTTGACTCTACGGTTGGTGACAACGAAGTACATATACCTGGATACGAAATTGTTAGGCGAGATAAAGATTCCAATGGTAGATTTGGCGGTGGGGTTTGTTTTTATATTCGTAGCTGTATAAATTTTTCAGTTCGGCATGATCTATCTTTTGAGCAATTGGAAAACCTGTGTATTTCAGTTAATAAACCTAGAGCCAAGCCTTTTCTTATTACCACTTGGTACAGGCCTCCTAATTCGCCTGTAGCAATGCTTAATTTTTTTGAAATTCTTCTAGGTATGCTCGATTCCGAAAATATCGAGTATTACCTCATGGGCGACTTCAACTGTGATTTGAGCTCTACAGTCTTAGATCATGATTCGAAGTCACTCATGGATATTGCCGATTTATATAATCTTTCTCAGCTTATAAATGAACCTACTCGAATCACAGACTCCTCCTCAACATTATTAGATCATATTTTCACAAATACTCCTGACAAGGTTGTTTGCTCTGGTGTTTCTCATGTGAGTATAAGCGATCATAGTCTTATTTACGCCTTTCGCAAACTTTCTGTGGGTTCATCGACGGGGGTACATTCTTCAATAAACTACAGAAAGTTTAAAAACTTTGATTCTACTAAATTTCGTAATGATATTAGTCAACAGAGTTGGAACTATATCAATCAGTACGAAAATCCTAATGACATGTGGCATGCTTGGAAAGCCACATTCAATTCTGTCGCAGATAAGCACGCCCCAATTCGAGCTAAGCGCGTTAAGGCTATTAAATCGCCTTGGATCACATCTCTTTTGAAAGATAAAATGCATAGGCGAGATGTCCTAAAAATTAAAGCAATTCGTTCCAACGATACTCAAGATTGGTTTTCTTTTAAGAAAATGCGTAATTTTGTTAATTCTGAAATCTTCTACGCAAAGCAAGCCTATTTCAAAAATTCTTTCAATGATAATAAAGACAATCCTAATAAAACCTGGAAGATCATTAATGAACTTACTTCTAAAAATAGGAAAAGCCCTCACATTGGCGAGGTTGATTTGAATGGCGTATTAATTAATGACCCTAGCAAAATTGCTGATGCGTTTAACGATCACTTTTCAAACATCGGACCAGACCTTGCAGATAAAATTAATCTTAATTATAGCAATCGGTCTTACCTTGATTATTTACCTAACCAAAATAATGCTATTTTTCAACTGAGGGAAATAAGTATTCCAACCGTTTACGCATTACTGTCCACGTTAAGCACTTCTACAGCAACAGGTTTAGACAAAATATCTTCTAGGTTAATTACAGAATGCTCTGACTTAATTGCAGAATCCCTCTGTCTTATTTTTAATCGTTCTATCACTACAGGCATATTCCCAAACGAATGGAAATGTGCTAAAGTTATTCCTATATACAAACAAGGCAAACGCAATTGCGTTGATAACTATCGTCCCATTTCCATTGTTCCTATTGTGGCTAAGGTTTTTGAAAGGGTAATTTATGATCAGCTATATACATTTATAGCTGAAAATGAATTATTAACTAATTATCAATCGGGATTTCGAGGCCTACATTCTACTGTCACCGCTCTTCTTGAGGCTACCAACGAATGGGCTTATAATATTGACAGTGGTAATGTAAATGCTGTAATGTTTCTTGATCTTAAAAAAGCGTTCGACACTGTAGATCATGAAATATTGCTGAACAAACTTAATGCATATGGAATCAAGGGAACTGCGGGTAACTGGTTAAGATCGTATCTAAATGAACGTAATCAAAAGTGTTTTGTTAACGGTCATTTCTCCTCGAATCGATTACTACAATGTGGGGTTCCTCAAGGAACTATATTAGGCCCGCTTTTATTTTTAATCTATATTAATGATCTTCCTAATTGTCTAATACACTCTCGGGCACGAATGTTTGCTGATGACACTAATTTGACATATGCAAGTAATAACATACATGAAATTAATCATAATCTTAACGAGGATCTTGGTAATGTCAGTGAATGGTTATCAGCAAACAAACTTACTTTAAACCAGACTAAAACTGAATTTATGCTAATTGGCTCTCGCCAAAGAATAAACACTTTTCAATCTACTCCTTTATTAGTAATAAATAACGTTCCAGTTAAACAAGTCTCTCATACAAAATCACTTGGCGTACACATTGATGAGAACTTATCCTGGAATGTTCATATTGAGAAACTGAGTAAAAAAGTTGCTTCCGGTATTGGTGCACTAAAACGCATTAGACCTTATGTTCCTTTTACCACAATGCAACTTATTTACAAGTGCTTCGTTCAACCATATTTCGACTACTGCTCTGCTGTCTGGGATAGTTGCAGTAGTTATCTAGTTAACAAATTGCAAAAATTACAAAATCGTGCTGCCAGGGTATTGACATCTTCTAGTTATGATACAAATGCCGATTATCTTTTCGAAAGTCTTGGATGGAAAAATCTTGTATCTCAGCGTAGGCTTGCCAAGGCTATCATGGTGTATAAATCCTTGAATGGTCTTGCTCCAGATTATCTTTCTAATATGTTTGTTGATCGCAATAGTATCACAAATTATGCATTGAGAGACACCAGTAACAAACTAGCTTTTTCACTACCGCG